TTTATTGATGTATTATGTTGAGATCAGTGATATATTTATTCCATTTTTCAGCAGTCTTATCGTAGTTTCATAACAGGAAAGAAATTTGATCGTGGAGGCGAAAATTAGATAAGGTCATGTCGGGTTGTTTTACTGCATCAAGTGGTCCCAAGGTCGATTCCAGAATTCCCCACTTGCGCCATTTGTGTCTGCATGGCGGACCGTACTCGTAAGTTGAGTAAAATGTTGAAAACCAGTTGCTTCTTCATTTCAGATCATGAATACTCATTTACATCGTGTCCGCCAGCTTCTTTAAATGGTAGAATTGGATCGTTCCTGGAATTTGAGTGATTATGGGATAAATGGTTTGGAATTAATCATAGCAGCTAGAATACAGTTAAACATGCAGAGAAGTACTTTTGATTCAGCAACCGGTGAATTTGTTATTCTTTTCGATCTAGTACCAGAATAACTGCGAACCATTCCATTCAATATGTCGAATAAGGCACACAGGAGGAGATCATTACCATGGAATGAGTCAACTTGATCTGAAATGCAGCTTTCAGCATGTTTTCGTTATATCATAGATATCCAGGTTTATTGGCGCTGTAGAGGCAGTGATTACGATTATGACGTATTCTACAAAGTCTCCGTGCCCATTTGAAGTATACATGTGCTTTGAAAGGATTACTATGTTGGCTCCTACCCCCACTGAGTGTTAACAACAGCTGCTGCTGTTGAAGCTGTATGTTCCACTCTGAAACCAAACCATCAATAATGACGACAGTGTTAATGATGGGCATATTTTAGGTGAAAGCCTCTGAATTAAAACCCTCCTAGTTTTTAGTTTCTATGCATTTATGATTATCGGGCTTGTATTTCGCGAACGCACAGAATAAGATAATACTCAAACCTTTTCATATTATGACAGGGGTTATACACCAAAATGAATCAAAGTCTGTCTGTTCTTTCTCGGCCTTCAGAGAGGTTACAGAACTCACATTAAGGTAGTTCCCGGCTTGTGAAGACGCCAAGTCATCTATTCTGAAACAGTGCAAAGAAGCTGTCTACAGGCCTTTTTGTAACCGATTTCAACACTCGCTGGATTCGGGGGAATCTGCCACGAAAGTGGAAGACAATCATCTTTTCTCCTATCTTCAAGGGTTGGGATCGGCAAAATGCCACCAGTTATACCCCAGTAGCGCTAATCCCAGCGGTATCAGAAGTGTTGGAAAGTCCGATTGGTGATCTTACCAGGCAACACCTCAGCAGGACTAACATACCTCATGGAGCGCGAATAGGTTTCAGGGGAGCCAGATCCTGTGTGAAAGATCTACTATCACTTTGACCTTATGTCGTAAATGTAGACGAATTCCTCTGGTTAATTTTGTTTTAAATTTTAATTTTATTTATATTTTGAGTAAATCAGATGCAATATTATGACAAATGCTGAGAATTCCATTCCGTATTATAATGACTGTTTTTGGAATAGAGTAGATTATTACTATTATCACCCTGGGATCAATGGACATCACGTTGGGATATGAATGTCACAGTTCATGTGACTTTCTGTGACTTTGAGAAGGTATTTGACACAGTTCATCGTGACCTCCTAATACACATAACAAGCCGGGCGTTTGTTAGTGGCGCGCTTCCGTTGTCGTTAGAGGACTACTTAGATGGAAGGAAATTCTACATCAAGGTCAACCGTGTCCAGTCATCTTGACACAGATTGATGTCAACAGAATTGCATGACCTCATTCCAGGACCATTGATGCTTTGCACTTTCATCAATGACCTGCCATGCCGTCTAAAACTGGCTATTCCTTACACTGACTATGGGAAGATTTGAAGGGCAATAAAGTGCTCGGAAGACTCCGGTAGGCTGCAGGCAGACCCAAAAATTCTGGAAGACTGAGTAGTGGTCAGTGTTACAGCTTCCAACCTGAAAAGTGCAAAGGGGTGAAACTATGCACCCGTAGGCTGCAGAATGCAAGTTGCACCCTTTGCAACCAAAACCTGTTCTGCACAAAGTTGGACCGCTGCTCGGCTCTGGTTCTAAAGGAGAAGTTGACGCCAGAGTGGATTGTTCTGAAGATGTAATGAGGGCACATGCGGTTATACACTTTAAGCATAGACACTTTGGTGTGCTCCGTCTTCAGCTGTTTCTGAAGTTGTGCAGACATATTGCAGACAACACCTTAAAGTGCACAACATCGTTGCTCTCCATTACTTGGAGGAGACGATAGCCTTTCCTAAATACTTTGAAGACGGTCGACAAGAGTTGCGATGTTTCCCTGGAAAGAAAACCATATGGTGAACGGCTAAACAAATTGGGTATTACTACACTTAGCTAATGTCGGCTGAGATGTGACTTAGTCACCACCTATAGGATTACAAATGACCAGAATCATCCAAATAAAGACATTCTCCCATTAAGTACTTGTGGGTTTCCTCAAGGCGATCCATGAATAATAGACGACCAGAGAGCAAAGACTCCAGTGCGCTCATTGTTCCTTCCACTTCGAGTTTGCCACCCCTGGAGCTCCCTAGCAGCAATTGTGCAGCGATAAATTCCATTAACATTAGCGACATGGTCTAAACGCATCGTACATTTAAAACCAGACATAACCAATCTCAGCAACACTCCTTTTGGTATCAACTAAAATTACGACAGCCGAGTGATGGGGCAAACAACACAGAAGTGTATCGAAGGCCGGAAACCTTCACCTTTCAACCAAGAAACGGGCACTAAGAGACAAATTAAGCTTACACTGGCAACGTCGTAAAGCGATACTGCATGTTGGATCTCCCAAAACACCTGGATTCTACCAACAGACGTGAAAATATCCCAAAAGTATTCAGAAAGGTTTTCCGTTTTTGCTTCATCTGATCACACCGCCTCTCCAGTTTTGCTTGTCAGTGATGATATAGTACTGCTAATTTTAGTCTTGTGTTTAATACACGAGTGCAGTCCAATACCAGGTGTCTCTCTCTGAATTACTTTTATCAATCATATTATCACAAAAGTTACGATTTTCGTGGTGGCCATAGGAATGTATTTTCAGGTTTATATCAAATTAACTATTACCTATAGATGACTTCTCATAAATGAAATTTTAATATCTCATCCTATCCCCTATCTTCAAGGGTGGTGACCGGCAGAATGTGACCAGTTATAGACCAGTTGCTCTACTTCCAGTGGTATCGAAGATATTGGAAAGTCTCATTGACGACCACATGAGAAAATACTTCGATGGGACTAACCTTCTTCACGAAGCACAGCACGGTTTAAGGAGGGGAAGATCCTGCGTGACGAATCTTCTACTAGCTTGGAACGATTGGACACTATCCTGGGATGAAAAGGTACCAGCCCACGTGATCTTTCTCGACTTTGCGAAAGCATTCGACACAGTTCACCATGGTCTGCTCCTTCACAAAATAAGCAAGGCGGGAGTTTCTGGAGCACTTCTCGCATGGCTGAAAGATTACTTAGGCGAGAGAGAATTCTGCACCAAAGTCAACCGCATCCGATCATCCTGGCACACCTCGGCATCAGGGGTTCCTCAGGGTTCTATCCTAGGGCCGTTGATGTTTTTGATTTTTATCAACGACCTGCCCTCCCAACTAAACTGCTCTGCGCTTCTTTACGCTGACGACGTAAAGATTTGGAGAGCAATAAACTCATCGGAAGACTCAGATAGATTGCAGGCTGACCTGCAAACTCTGGGAAATTGGGCTTTGGCTAACGGAATGCCTTTCAATCTAAAGAAGTGCAAAGTAGTGCAGCTTCATTCCGGCAGGTCACAGAGTGTAAATTACACCCTTGGTGGCCAGAACTTGAGTTGTGTTCCATCAGAGCGTGATCTAGGTCTTATTCTAACAGAAAAGCTAGACACCAGTGGAAATTACTCGAGGGACGTCGCCAAAGCCTACGCAACATTACACTTTATGCACAGGCAGCTGGGAGCTCTCACTCCCGAACTGTTCTTAAGGTTATATAAGACATATGTGAGGTGCATAATATCATTGCACCTCCGCTACTCAAAAGGGATGCTAACATTCTAGAAAGTGTCCAGAGACGAGCGACAAAATGGGTGATCGGCCTCCGCAACAAATCATATGAGGAAAGACTAAAGAAATTAGGTCTTTTCACACTTAGTTACCGTAGGCACAGGGGAGACCTCATCACCGTCTACCAGATCCTAAATGACCAGGCCCACCCAAATAAAAGCATCCTGCCATTAAGTGATTATAGGCTTCCACGAGGTAACCCGCTAAGGATAGCACACCAGAGACCAAAGACTCGAGTGCGATCACATTTCTTTTCGCTTCGTGTTTGCCGTCTCTGGAACGCTTTACCGGCGGCCGTGACTACAGCGCCATCTCTGGAGATTTTTAAGCGGAAGCTAGACAATCATGCAGAAATGCAAGGTTTGTGTCTCAATGGCTTATCCTCATAAAATTTGAAACCAACTGTCAATGGATAAGCGTACAAACTAAATCCCCACGACCTATTCTGCCTTCTCTCACTCTATCTTTTCCTTAGGTCACCTTTATTATTCCACTTATCTCAACCTATATTATCTACACTACAACCCATTATTTTTATTATTATTATTACTACTATTCTGCTTTTATGACTACACCGAATGACCAACGGGAGTTAGGTCAAACTCCATTCACGGCAGCAATACAGTCCTAACATACTGCATACTACAAACCACATCTCGACCAATCCCCGCACCACTCCTCCTGGAGTCTACCAGAGCTAAAGCAGTCGAGTGTCGGGACTTACTACGCAGAAGCTCACCGAAGATCTGGAACCTCTACCTCACAATCAAGAAGCGAGCTCAAAGAAATCACTGGTTTATACTAGCTCGTAATCAGGATATTGGATATTGGATCCTTGAAGACTACCAAATTTGTTTAATCGCACTGTGAAGGTTGTTAACTGGCTTACCTCCTTTTGACCGCCAAGGTCATTACTGGCGTCAACCTTCATATTCCGTCTATGTCTTATGTCTGAAGGTTCGTCTATATTGTCGTGTGGGCCTAAAAGACAATATGGCACACTAGAATCTACAACTACACCTCAAAATGCTCACAAGTTATACACAGTTAAACCTGGTGATACTCTTGTCTCAATTGCAGTTCAAAATGGTACAACAGTAAGTTATATTTTTATCATCATCATTACTTTTGTTAAGGTACAACGTTTAAGATGGATAAACCGCTTATGGAGCTCCGACATCTCCAACATAACTACACTAAAGATTCCTGTGAAATCTCAATCAGAATCAACCAGTTTTAGTGAAACAAACTCAATAGAGTTGTGTCCTGTCAAGAAAAAAATAGAAACAGAGAATGAAGATGCATTACAAATAGCTTCCGCTAGTCTTTATATTAAAGAACTTTCAGAAAGGGTTGAAAAGGCTAAGGAAGCTGCATCTCGTTGTCTAGAGAAAAGTAGGTATGTAGAAATAACGTTTTTCACTTTGTTTCTATGTATTAGTTAATATATGAGGTATTATTTACTTTTTGTTAAAAGCTGTTAAGGATACTTTTTCCGAATAAGGTAAGGGTGAGTTAGGTAAGTTAGGTCGTATCTATCAGTACAATCGGTGATGGGGACACTTGACAACTTACACGTCCCACGAAACCTTTTCACCCACTTAAGTAGTTTCGCACGATCTTTTGATCAGCGTACTGCAAAACTGTCCACCTACATGTGTGGTAATCAAAGGTTAAAAAAGGAAGTTGTCTGTAAAATGTTCTACGACTATTATTATTTATTATTTCCTTTAATTCCTAAAGGAACATGGAGCTTCAGCCGCGCGTCTCCATTGCGTTCGGTTCTCTGCCAACGTTTCCACCCCACTCCAACTCTGCCCACATGCTTTCATCTCCTCTTCACATGACATCCTCCACGTCACCCTTGCACTGACGACCAACTCGCCGCTTCCCTTTTGGGTTCCACTCCAGGGCTTGTCTAGTGATATCACTTGATGGTTTCCTCAGAGTATGGCCAGCCAATCCATCTCCATTTCTTCCTGCTTATTTATTGCACAATCGGTTCCTGGTTGGTTTTCCCCCAGGGGTCCCTGTTGCTGATCCTTTCTGGCCATCTGATCGTGAGTAGTGAGCGAAGACAGCTGGTGATGAAGGTTTGTAGTTTGTTTGAGGTGCACTTTATGACGCGCCGTCTCTGATCCTTATGAGAAGTAGCAACGACCACACATTGGAGTTGAAAATCCGGATCTTATTTTTGATGCTCAGTGCTGAGTGTTGACCTCCACACAGACTTGAGAGTAATGAAAGCTTGTCTTGCTTTTCTGATTCTGGCTTTGATATTCTCGTCAGTTCCGCCTGTAGTTGAAACGGTGCTTCCCAGGTAGGTAAAGGAAGTTGTTTCTTTCAGGTTCCTCCCATTTATGCTGGCTGATTGTTGTCTGTTGTTGTTGTTGGTGGTGGTGTTACCCAGGAATCTTCATCACCTCTGTTTTCTCTATATTCACCTGAAGTCCTATGTTTGATGCTTCTTCTGCCAGCGACTATGGTCCACACGGAAGTCATCAGGGGTTTACGTTGACTAATATAACATATGAAATTCTTGGTTCGGTGCGCCTAGATCAGTCGGCGTTTGGGGAAGGACGAAGCTGTGAAAAGCAGACAGGCTTTAAACCTGGCAAATGGTATACTGGTCTCATCTTAACCCTTCAACACATTCTGGAACATAGACATGCCTATCGGGTTCAAAACTTGCCATATTTCTTTATTTGAAGGCGGCGTTTGGCTGCATCGACTGCAAGACTTCACAGGATTTCACCAACTGAGTTGACTCGGTTATGCGTTTCAAATACTGAGATACCATCATCTACCGATAGCAGGGTTTACTAGATAAAGATGAGGTTGGAAGAAAGCTATCTGTCGAACTACTCCATAAACCCTCTTGTCTATGTGTTGTATATGAATGTGTAGGAGATAATTGAGTTGAAATTGTGAAAATGTTAAGATACATCATTTTAGGACCATGCGATATAGTGTAAAATAGTTGACAGTTGGTAGGATCAGAAGTTTGCTTCTAGTGTTCGTTTGACTTTCTTTTCCTAATTGAATTTGTCACCATCTATCGAGATTTGAGCAGCTAGATAGCACGATTAGCTCTATCATGCGTAGCTTATTACCAATTTTATGAAAATGCTTAAGGCTGTCTTGATGCATGAAAAGTTACCAAGGGATGAGTCACCAGGGTAGCTGAAGCCCAAAAATCGATTGCTTTTGGACACATAGGTCAGGTGTTAGCCGTTTTAATGCGAGAATCTCAGTAAACCAAAGAAGAGGAGTTATTTTGTCTGTTAATTAATTACTTTGAATGATGTCAGCGCATTTACTCTGTATCTTGCATCCATCAGGTGTTTGATGACTGAAGGGCATACATCGTTTATCCCCTTTAACTGGAAGCTCCTTCGTACTTGTTCGGAGAATCTAACGTGGACCCTTCTTTCTATTCTTCCAATGTAACTGCTCCCGCAGATACGTGTGAATCGGTATACACATTTGTAGGTAGCATATGAAAGGTAGGCAACAGTAATGAGTAGACACCAACTTCGGACGACATTTAAACAGCTAATCAGGTTCTTCTAGGAGAAAAGCTGTACTTAGTTTACAAAGAAGTGTATATACAATATTTATGTAATAAAAATGAATCATATAGGGTATATATCTCTAATATGCTGCAGAAACTGGTCCCAGATTCTCATAGAAGTGATTATAGACATATCAAACCAACGGATTCGCTATTCCTCCAGCTGTAGCAGATACTGGTTGCATAAACGCAACATACCACTAAGGGAGAGCTTTGATTTCGAGAAGGAAGTGTCTAAAAAACGCCAGTTATGTACAACTTGCCAACTTATACAGACTTCCTCACATAAAGTGGTTGCATCTGAATGTATGACCGTAAATAGTCCGACAATACTTTCACAGGGTCATTATCCCTCCATATATGCACGCTTTATTCCTTTCTGTCAACACATTTTCCACAGAGAAGTCAAAAACAAAATCTAGGAGACATTTTCAACGAGGATTGTGGCTAAAAACCATGTGACTGACTTTTTCAAGGTCATTTGACTTTGGTGTGTATTCTTTACTGTTGCCGAAAGGTACTTGTCGATCTTTGACTTTTTTGCCGATGAGGAAGATGTTCAGAGCCGAGAGACTAGTTTCGCTGAAGGATAGTTCCTAGACAGGGTGGCGCTTAATATTTTATTTATGATTCTCATAATATCATCGCATTTGTAGTCGTTATTTGAAAATTAGCTTCTTGTTGACTGTAGGTGGATCATATTTCTTGAGTTCATTCTTGCCATGTTTGTTAATGAGTCTTTGGGTGGTAACAATTTTCTTCCAAGCATTTCTCAAGCAACAGCATTAGTTTACTGTCTAATTTTTCAGGTGAACATATTCTTTTCGCTCTAGCAAAAATGTCTTCTCCAGTGTCCGTTTGTAAATTGACCGAGTAGAAGTTGTTGAAGTTAAGGTGGAGGCTGCTGCTTCATGTGTCCTTATTGATTTATCGATCTCTTGAGTGTCCTATCCTTTTTATCTCGCCTAGTTGATATCTAAGAAGTAGCATTTTCCAACATCTTCGTGCTCCATCGTGAAAGTAGTGCTGTTATGCACATTGTTGATTAAACCCAATAGAGATGAAGCGTGAATCAAATCACTGCACACAACTGACTGACTGACTGGTTTCTACGTATAACTTTGCACAGATGTGCAGCACTTTGAGTTGCTACTCTCCCTCCATGTACCACACAGAGCAAGAGAAGAGAGCAAAGAGAGATTCAAGGGATAGAGAGATAATAAACGGAAGTGTGAGTCAGGGAAAAAGAGTTGTAATATGGAAGAACAACAATAGAGTTTCATTAGATATGACAAATCACAAAGAGTGAATTCATCTGCGTCAGCCATTGGCAACGATTTCGAGTTACATCAGCGATTGTCTCCAGCCATTGATTTTCACCATCCTGAGGACCCTAACCCGGAAGTCTACACTTCTCTACGTGTTTGGCTGGCTTAAATTAATTGTTGTAGATCTCATTGACTGATGAAGCCGTGTTTTGGTTTGACTATCACTAGCTCTTTCCCAACCTTATCGTATTTCAGCTAACATCGGCCGTCTTGGAAGGAGATGGCTAGGCATCCGTAACACCATGTCCTAACCGTCTCAAACGATGTAATTTCACAACCTTGTCGATTAATTTCCCCTCCAACTCACCTAGCACACGATCGATGCCTCACCTCTGTATTACTCACTCTGTTATACCACAACACGGCAGATAGAACGCAGACACCTATGCTCGAAGACAGCTAGCCTTTTCGTATCTCGCTAGTTCAGTGTCCATGTTTCACTCACAGCCATAAAGGAGGACGGAGCGAACTGCTAATAATTACACGCCCTCTGATCGATAGACACCCGAATATCACGTCTACCAGGGTAGAGATGGTGTAATTTGACGTATGTAAATGGAAGGCTCTTCCATCTGCTAATACACACACAATGAACCCCTAATTACCACTTCATTAACTTGTCGATACATTTTGCTGTCGAATTGGCATTGTATGTCCCTGGTACACATAACATGAGAATCTGCTCCAATGGTTGTTCTGCACCAGTGTTTGTTCTATCTCTGCTCTGGCATGCGATTCACTTCCGCCAACTGTAAGATGATGTTACAGGACTGTCTGTCCGGATTCAACATAAAACTTGGCACCGAAGTGCACCAGTTCCAGTTGCCACGTTCCAAATACCACACAAAGGTAGACAAGAAAATGAGTGAAGAGAATCAACAGAGTTTGACAAGTATAAAAGTGAAACAGAATGGGTAATGGTAGAAAGGAATATGAAATATTACAGAGACTGAATACATCTTCGCTGGCCATCGACAACGATTTTGAGCCATGTCACCTATTGTCTCCAGCCATTGATTCCTAGAGTCAGTCCCGAGGGCCCCAACCCGGAAGTCTGCATCTCCCTACCTGACTGACTCAGTTTAACTGTCAAGGATTTCATGGATTGATGAGGCCATGTTTTTGTTTGGCCACCACTTACTCTTTTCCAACCTCCAACTATCTATATCAGCTAGTAATGCCCGTCGGGGGAGGCGATGGTTAGGCATGCGCAGCACGTGACCTGGCCATCTCAGTCTATGTAACTTTATAGCCTCGTCGATTGATTTTCCCTCTTTGCCCAACACTCTACGCCGAACGTCAACATTACTTACCTTGTGAAACCACCTAACGTGAGACAGAGATCGCAGACATCTATGATCGAAAGGAGTCAACCTTTCATGTCTTCAACGCGTATTGGCCATGTTTCAGAGCCACAGAGAAGGACGGAGCGAACTGGTGAGCAGTAAACACGTCCCTTGGTTGATAGCCGGATGTCACGCCTACGCCAGAGGTGGT